CCAACCAAATGGACTATACTCCTGAATGTGAAATGTAAAATAATAAAGCTTGTAGATAATCACAGAGGAGTATACCTTCATAACCTCAATGTAGGAAAAAACCTCAGACGAGACACAAAAAAGCATTAACGATAAAGGAGAAGATTGACAAACTGAGCTGCATTAAAATTAAGAACTTCTGATCATTTTTAGGTCACCATTAAAGGGTAAAAAGGCAAGCCAGAGTGGAGAGAAGATACATTTAAACACAATACATGTAACCAACAAAGGACTCTTATCCAAAAAGGACTCTTCTTACTCTATAAGACAAACACAGACAAAACAGTAGAAAAATGTGTAAAAGACACACTTCACAAAAATGGATATTCAAGTAGCCAACAATCACAGGAAAGAATGCTTAACATCATCAGATCACCAGGAAATACAAATTTCAGCCTCAACAAGATAACACTGTATACCCATCAGAATGACTAAAATTTTCTTTAGTTGACAGTATCAAGGGTCAACAAAGGTGTGGACAATAGGAACTCTCGCACACTGCTGGTGGGAGTATAAACTGGAAAATGAAACAATAGAAATTTATTATTTCAAAGTTCTGAAGGCTAGAAGTCCAAAATCAAGGTATGTGCAGGGCCATGTTCCACCTGAAACCTACAGGGGAATCCTTCCTTGCCTCTTCCTTGCTTTTGGTAATTTGGTGTCAATCTTTGGTGTTTTTAAGCTTGTAGATGCAACACTCCAATCTTCTATCTTCACATGGTGTCTCCCTTTGTCTCTTCATGTGGGCATTCTTTTTATAAGGTCACCAGTCACACCAGATTAGGGTCTCAGCCTACTCTAGCAAGACCTCATCTTAACTAATAACATCTAAAATGACCCTATTTCCAAATAATGTCACATTCTGAGGTACTGGGAGTTAGGACTTCAACATGTTGGGGGTGTAGAGGGGGGGTGAGATGACAGAATTCAGCCTATAATATACACCAAAAAGAATATTCATAAAAGCAATTTTTCACAATAGCCCAAAACTACGAACAATCCAAATGTCCATTACCATTACAATGGATTTTTAAAAATTGTCATACATGTATGTAAAGGAATACTGTACAGAAATGAAAATAAAAGAACTACAATAACATGAAACAACTATGATAAATGTCACAAACACAGTATTGAACAAAATAAGTCATACATGAAATACATATACTAAATCTATTCATACTAAAAATAAAAAATAGGCAATAAGAACTAAAAATTTATTTAGGGATGCAAGGTGATGTGGTAAAAACGTAAAGAAAACAAGTGATTACCATAAAACTGAGGATAAGTGTGACCTCTAATCAGGACAAACATTGTGATTAGGAGGGGACATAAAGGAGCTTCTGGGGTATTGGCAATGTTCAATTTCTTTACCTGCATGGTAAGTTACACAGGTACAATGAACTGTACTATTATTTTGTGTACTTTTCTGTTAAGTGATACTTTAAAATAATGTAAGTGAAAGAAAAAGGAGCTTTGCTGGAAATAAAAAGTTGAAAAAATACTAGTTAACATCTTTATGTCAAAGTTCATGCTTAAATAAGTGGAAAGTAAGCAAAGTAAAAAAGTTCATATAATATGTTGCCTTTTGTGTAAGAAGGGGAAATAAGAAAACATCTATTCATTTGTGCAGCATAAATACAGTAAAGGTAAACTAGAGACTAATTACGTTCATTTCTTCGAGAGGGGCAGGTAGGAATAAGGTGGAAAAGATAGAAGAAATGAGGAAGGGGTATGATACTTAGAATCTCTTTTGGACAGGTCTGACATTAAGAACTATGCTAACAACTCACACATCCCACAGTACAACAACAAAACAAAATAATCAATAATAATGAGGGGAAAAACTAAAATGGAATTCAAAACAGAACCAAATGAACTGGAACATCTGATAAATGAGTAGTGTAACCACAGTGAAAAAAAAAAAATTAACCCAAGTAATTTTTAAATACAGTATCTGAACTATATATCTACAAACTAAAGACAAAAAGAACTCTAAGTAAATACTGAATTCTAATTAAGAGGTTTCTTTTTTTGCAGAGGTATAGGTCAGCAATTCTAAAACAACTTTCTGTTATTCTAGGATTAAGCAAATAAGTACAAACATTGTGTATAACAAGACACAGTTCTAATCAATGTGGAAGAAAGTTACAAATGTGAAAGAGAACAGAGTGAACCCTGTGATGAATAAACTGGAATTGGTGTCATCAGTGTGAATTGGTTGCTTTTAATATATATAGAATAGACAGATCAGATATGTGTGTGGACACATGTGTATTCACTCATGTCACACACATATGTACATATCTATTTCTTTTTCTTTTTTTTTTTTTTTTTTTGGCCACGCAGCATGCAAGATCTTAGTTCCCCAACCAGGGATAGAACCCATGCCCCCTGCAGTGGAAGCACAGAGTCTTAACCACTGGGCCACCAGGGAAGTCCCAGTATATATCTATTTCTTAACTCTGTCAGCTGACAAAGCCCAGAAGCCATGACACCCCAGTAGCAAATGAACACACCTTGCACACAGATCTTGATTTCCAAATATATTCTCCACCAAAAGGAACTAGGGGTCCTTAGAGAAATGGCTGACTCCAGAGTTAGAATGAGCCTGGGATATCTTATTGTGCCAAAACATAAAGAAAATCCTCAGTGAATGACAAGGTCATGTCAAAAGGACCTAAGAATCAGCTTGAAACGGTTCCCATTGGCCCAATCTGGGACAATTTGAGCAGCAATATAAATTAATGAGAGTATAAGAATCCAAGAGTCTACAATGATATAAATAAATAAGTAATGGGGAAAGGAAAGCTCTTCTTTATAGCAGAAAGCAAACTAATAAACACAGAAGGAATGAAGGAATTAGAAAGAAAATCACCATTTGGCAACCATAATAGTAATAAATGATTTAGGCAAGAATTATCAGTGAATGCTACTGGAGGGTAGAAGTTCTGAGTAATAGCAGGGTATTTACAGACCTCGAACTACTCCCCCCCGCCCAAGTACCTATAAATTACAAAAAGAAAAATTCTAACTTTACAGTGGAGTAACCTGAAAAACACTACCTTAACCAAGTGATCAAAGTTAACATCACCAGAAATGGGACAAATTGACAGCACGTGCCTCCATAAGCATCTTTTCCATGGTATTCCTAACAAAAGTGTATTTTTGCAATTAATGTTAATTCAGAGTAATAGATTCCAATTGTTGAATCATTCTTGCAATCCTGGAATAAATAATGCTTGGAATGTGAAAAAAAATGTTTTTAAGTGCATGAGGTGAATTTAATTATGAAAATATATCAAACAAACCCAAATTAAGAGACATTCAGGGCTTCCCTGGTGGCGCAGTGCTTGAGAGTCCGCCTGCCGATGCAGGAGACGCGGGTTCGTGCCCCGTTTCGGGAAGATCCCACATGCCGCGGAGCGGCTGGGCCCGTGAGCCATGGCCACTGAGCCTGCGCGTCCGGAGCCTGTGCTCCGCAAATGGGAGAGGCCACAACAGTGAGAGGCCCGCATAACGCAAAAAAAAAAAAAAAAAAAAAAAAAGAGACATTCAACAAAATAACTGGCCTAAACTCTTTAAATATCAAGTCATGAAAAACATGGAAGATTAAAGAACTGTTCCAGATTAAAGGAGACTAAAGAGATACGACAACTAAATCTAATGCACAATTCAGGATATTCTTTTGCTGTAAATGACATTCTTGGCATCACTAGCAAGATCTGAATAAGACCTACAGATTCGATAATGGTATCATACCGGTTTAATTCTGATAATTTTACCAAGGCTATGTAAAAGAATGTCCTTGATTTTAGGAAATGCACATTAAAGTTCTTAGGGAAAATGGGCATCATGATTGCAACCGACTCTCAATTCAAAATAAAAGGTGTATATATATGTGTATTATATGTATATGTATACACACACACACACACATACATAGAGAGAAGGAGAGAGAAACAGCAAATGACAACAGGAGTTAGAGACAGGGAAAGA